TCGTTACTTCTTTGATTATAAATGAATTCAAAATCATGAAATTTTTAGCTAGGTATATAACTCAGTGGCACAGTGCCTGCCTGGCAAGTACAAGGCATCGAGTTTGATTTAAAAAAAAAAAAAAAAAAAAAAAAAAAAATCATGAAGTTTTCTCTCAATATACTTTTGGCCTGATCATATAGTGCAGCATACAGCACTCATTATTTGTGGTTTGTAAAGTTTTAAATCTTGACTAACATTATCACTTTTGCCTAAGCATTATTGGACTATTTAGGAATTTCCAAGAAATTTGGATTTCTAGTTCATCATTATTGTCTTTCTCTGTGCTTTTCCATGCAGAAAATGTGGTGGTGTGTGGTCTGTGTCGGGGGCCACACCATCCAGGGAGACAGCGGAGCGGTATGCTAGCGCTGCCCGTGTTCTCCTGGCACTTGCTCTTGCTGCCTGCTGAGACGCAGATATAACCACACAGTCACTTAAATTGGACCAGATATCATGGGTGAAGACTTCAGAGGACCCCCAAGTTCCTAAACTGCAGAAGGGGCGCAGCCTGTTAGCATTTAGCGAGCTTTTTCTTTGTCTTACTTATTACCTCTTTCCTGAACCCAAGTGACTTGAGGGTCTGAGTCCCAGGAAGCAAGCACTGTAACTTGCCTTCTTGTTTGTACTCCTGCCTTCGTCCCAGGGCTTCCCATAACCTCTGAAATCTGAAGGGCCCTTAGTTCATATGAGGTTTGTAATTTGTGGCTTCACTTGTAATAAATGTTAGAACGCGTAAGTAAATGCTGTTATTTTCTGAATAAACAAACTCTATATTTAAAATAACTAAATTTTAAAAGGTTTCTATTAATATAATACATACACATTTATTTTAAAAATCACTGAGTAGTAAAAGGCTTATTGAGACAACTGGTGCTCCCTGTTCCTGTGTACACCCCTCCCCTCCCCAGCAGCAGTTCTGTAGGATGATTTCTTGGTCCACCGGCCTTGGACAGTGTGTGGTAACTTCTTTGTGTGGTAGACATTGGTTTTAATTTCCACAACCATTTTCATTTGCTCTTAATAACACTCACTTTATTTGTTGCATTTTCCTTGATATTCCACTCCTTTTTTTTTCCAAAATTTTATTGATAAACAGCAATGAGACAGTTTCAAATCAAATCGGAAGTACAGTTTCAACACATAACACACTGCATATATTCTTCTTAGTGGTTAATTGCTGTACAAGATGCGGACTTGAGATCCTGTTTACAAATCCACTCCTTTTTAAAAAATAAAGTGTCATCTATTTACCACATATACATCCAACCTTAAAAATTTTTTATTATGTATACCTCCGTACCCCTACCCCCTCTGCACACCTATGCCATCACATTGGGTCTTCTTCTTTTTCCTCTTTTTTTTTTTTTTCATGAATATGACACTTTTTCACCCCTTTTTTTAAAAAAAATTAAGTTTATTGGTACAATTTAAGTATACATATTGACCATGTTCATTATAGGGATTTATTTTTCTTTTTTGTCTTTTTGAGACGATGTTGTGCTCTGTAGTTCAGGCCAGCCTTGAATTCACTTTGTAGCTCAGGCTGTCCTAGAATTTACAGCAATCCTGCCTCAGCCTCCTGGGTGCTGGGATTATAGGTATGCACACACCCAGCAGTTATGGGGAATTTGTATCTGAACATAGTATATCTTAATCCTCCCCCATTCACGTTTTTCTCTAGAGACGTCCTTGTAGGGCTTATCTGTTATGGACCAGGTGTTCTAAAGGCATCCTGCCCAGAGAACATCTCAGAATCTTTACCACTCCCGGGTTGGGTCTACTGTCTTCTGTATTCCATGTCTTCTTTCTTCTGGTTTATTCTTTTATTTTTCTTGAGGAAATCATCAGGCAGTTTTCACATATATCCCTGGAAATATGTACTCTGAATTTTTTCATGGATTCTTGCAATCTGTTTGTTCTTCAGCAGTTTGATGCTGTTCTGAGCCTGATTCTGTAGGCACAGAAAAAAACCAATGAGTGAGGGTCACCAGACCCTACCCAGGTAGGCTGAACATGGCAGAAGACATGGATGGTCATCCTGCAGGGACAAGAAGCCCGGTAGTGTGGACGTTGGGAGCCAGCAGGGCTCAGCCGCAGTATGTGTGAGAGTGATATTGGGGTTTGTTTGCCGCTGGATGGATATGGGTGATTGTCAGAGAAGTCAGTGGGATTCTAGATTACAGTAGTAAAACAACAACACCTTCCTGACAAGGGAATTCGGGGATCTACTTGCCTTATGAGGAGCCATTCACAGTAGATAGATGGTTTTGTTCGGGGTGTGTATTGTTCATCTGGCAAATTTCTCATCCTTAAGGGCTCATTTCAGTTGTCATTTCACGCCATAGCTTTCTCTGACACTTCCCTTATCCACACTCATTTATTACTTGTCTTGGTCTTCAGTTTTTATTTACTTACTTACCATCTTGCTAAAAGATATATCTTGCTTCTCTATTATAGCGAGTCTCTCAGGGATATTCAGACAAGTCACTTAATCCTTGTGGTTATGAACTTGGACTAGAAGCAATAATCTTGGCTCCCTTTTTGTCCTTGGGCTTTGTAAATATCAGATGAATTGTATATTATGGTGCTTTACAAGGAGCAAATGGGAGATGGTGTTACTTCCTGTCCATTTGTTGCGCTAATGAATAACAGCCTCCAGTTAGCAAGCCAGTTAAGCAGCCCTGTTCCTAGCATCTGTGCAGGCATCCCCACCCTGATGTGCCCTGAATTCCTCAGTGGGAGAAGAATGGCTTGTTCATTAGTTTCCAGCTTTTTTAGCACCGGGACCTTTCTTTCAGCTTACCTTTTGCCTCTCCTCTCTGAAGTCTGGGCTGTCACTACTCATACAGTAGCCTGTCTCATGGCTGCTTCCTCTAGGGAGGAATCAGGCAAGGTCTACCCAGTGCAGCCTAGGGCTTCCTAATGTGCCAGACGTAAACTGGGATTTGCAGACCCAAGTCCTGGGAACAACACTGCTCCCTGATGCAGGACAGTCAGCATTTTCCTATTGTGCTGCATGGTGGGTCTGGTGACCACTGGCAGGCCTGTTGGTCCAGGTCTTTGCACAAACCACTGTGCTCTCAAATCTAAGTCTGACCCTGGATGATCCAGACCAGAAGGCCTGCTTTATTTATACTCCCAGACTTAGCCATTGACTTCCAATTCCAGAAGCTTGAGACCCTGGCTGCTGGACTTGAGGGAACACCCAGCATTTAACCACATGTTATGCCAGAGCCAGCCCTCATGAGGAAACTTTTTTTTTCAAGATTTTCCCAGCCTTTCTTTTCAAGCCAGGCCTCCCAACTTAGACTGTTTTCCTCAAAGACTTTGTATTTAAGGAGTTCTTATTACACTGAGCCTTGACTGATATGCAGGATGACCACAACAGGGATCCTTAATCTTGAACACCAGAAGTTCAGGCCTCTACTCTGCCTTCCAAGAAGACACCCTGAGCTATACTTTCTCTGTCATCAGTTTCAATACCCTGGAGATCTCGGTCATCAGGGAGTTTGCTTCTCTGATCTCTGGTTGTGGGTCCTTGCTCATCCTGTGCTGCTTACCTGGGCACCTCTTAAGTGAATGCTTTTGTGAAAAAATATTGTCTTCCTTTGGCTGAACCACGGTGCCCAGTGTAAATATAACCCAGGAAAATGCCAGGGAACTTGGAGGAAGTAGTGTAGGTTGGCACCGTGGCTGTACTGGGATGCTGTAGGGCCTGTCTGTGTGAGCTGTGTGCAAGCTTCTGGGGCCATCCACCATGGAGATGTTGAGGGAAGAGAAGATCACCACAATTCAGGGAAAGAGGCTTGGTGTAGCTATGGAACAACTTTTCAGGTTACCTTGAGGAATTGACCCTCTAACCCCTTGCTATTGCAGGATCTCTATATGACAGAGATCAGCGCTGCTTTTTGCTAGGGGTTCTGGCATTCTGTAGCACCATGGGTAGCTTCAGGAGTATCCTCAAGTGTGAAATTCTCTGAAAACAAGACCGAGGCTGTGCACTTTCCCATCTCTACATGAAATAGCCCTTGGAGATCCTTTGTTGCCATTTAGATGTTTCCTTTGCTCTTGGTCCACAGTCACCCTGTCCTGCTAGCTTTATCTGCTTTATTTCTTTTCTCTCTCATATTCTGTAATTTCTTCTCATTCCAGCTTTTGAATCGAAAGGACAAGACCACCTTTGAGAAACTGGACTACCTGATGTCCAAAGAAGATAATTATAAACGAACTCGGGAATATATCCGAAGCCTAAAGATGGTACCCAGTATTCCCTATCTAGGTAGGAGTCTGAATTTGCTTATTTTTGTGTGTGGTTTTTTGTTTGTTTTTGGAAGCATGCTTAATGCTAAATAAGGTATTTTTACAGTTTCTAGTTGAGAGTTTTCCAGGAAGCAGCAGGGGTCATGGATAGAGGCAGTTGGTTGGCTCCTTGGGTTGGAATTGGCTGCTGATATTTTCTGGGGATGGGAACCTTGACGAGGGGGAGAAATGAGCAGTGTTCTGCCTCTTATGTGTGTGCTTTGTGAAGTCCACGCTGCAGGCTGCAGGCCAGACAGGTCACACGTTCAGTGGAAAGACTCACTGATTCATCCACATCCTCCTGAATGAGGGCCCTCTGTTCTGGTTCTCTTGGGAGTGCTGGTGTACTTCATAAGATTTGTACAAACAGAATTTTAGTAATATTATTATTATTTTCTGTTAGAAAATAATGTGTGTTCACTGTGTAGAATTAGGAGAAGAAAGATAATATTATTCATTATCCTACTTTAAGACACTTTATTTGTATCTTATCATTCATTTGGACATAAATAAAATGTTTATCTTTAAAATCTAATATTACTATCCACATTCTACACTATTTAAGTTGTACGTTTTACAATGAACATCTTTATTATAAAAACTTTTTTTTTTTTTTTTGTACTTTTTTTAGGAAAGGGTTTACATGGTATTCAGGGTCTCACTACTAGATCAGACTCAGTAGTGATCTGCCTGTTTACAGCCTCCCAAGAGCTGGGATTACAGGCGCGCACCACCACGCCTGGTCTCAATTGCCATTTCAGCATGCCCTGGGAGCTGGGCCAGCGCAGCAAGCCTGGGGATCGACCCCCACCACCACCTGCTTGCAGGCGCTTTAATCCGAAAACTTCTATATATGGTTATAAATATTGCTTTTCAATAGATTCTACTTTTGTGATTAATGAGTCAAAACTTACATAAAAGTATATGCCTTTTTGTGTATCTTTCCAAAATGCTTTTGAGAGAGGTTAACTTTACGCATTTATTAGAAGTTGATGAAGTTACCTCTACATGTATAAATACTGTACATTTTTCTTTTTTTCTCTTAAAAATTTTAAATCATTGCCAACTTGATGGATGAAAAGTTCTTCCTATGGGCCAGCCAGATAGCTAAGTGGATTAAAGTGCCTGCTTAGGCAGATGCAGAGTCAGGGTTCAATCCCCAGCATGCTGTGCCAGTCCTGCCCCTGGGGCACACTGAGACATGGATTAAGACTGGGCATGGTGGTGCACGCCTGTAATCCCAGTGCTTGGGAGGCTAAAAGCAGGAGGATTACTACAAGTGCAATCTGTGTAGTTAGGCCCTGTAGACCCTGTACTAAGTACATGAAAAAAAAAAAAAAAAGAGAGAGAGAAGAGTACTTCATATAGTTTTGGCTTTGGTATTATTCTAGTTTTAAGAAAAAGGATAAGCTGAGGTTTCAGTGGCAGTGTACACTAAGCTTTTATAGAAGTGCTGCCTGGTATTTTCAGGGATCCAGTGCAGGTTTTTGGAGATATCTTTGGCAGCTTTTAAAATATCTTCCATAAACATTATTAGTTTAGATTTTCTTATTCTTTTAAAGATAATGTAAAAGAATTATTATTTGTGGTTTAGTAAGAAATTGTCTATTTGATCCAAATTTGCAGAATTATTAGCATAGAGTGTGTGTGTGTGTGTGTGTGTGTGTGTGTGCATGTGTGTGCGCACGCACATGCACAGCATTGGGTGTTGAGCACAGGGCCTTTACACTAAGAAATTTCCCCAACTCTTTAAAAAATTTTTTTTTCTAATTTTGAGATAAGGTCTCCCTAAGTTCCTTCAGTTGCTTAGCCTGGGATCAAACTTGCAGTCCTCCTGCCTCTGCCTTCCAGGGTGCTGGGACCATAGGTTTGTGCCTCCACGCTCATCTTCTGTTTAATTCTTTAACCATAGTATATTGCATAGTATTGTCTTACAAGCTTGAGCCTCTCTGTGTATATGGTTATATTTGCTTTTGTGTCCCTAATAGCTTATATTTTTGTTTTTTCTTTCCTTTTAAAAATTTGTCTTGCTAGAACTGTTGGTCTTTCAAAAAAATTAGGTTTTAGACTTACCTATTGGGCACACTATTTTCTGACTGAATGGGCTGTATTTTATCAACCTGCACGTTTATGTACCCTTAAATCAGTGATAAAGCATTGTAACATTGCTTCATTGATGTATTATTTAATAGTGATGCATAAAGATACATCTTTATAAGTATATAAAATTTTATACTATGGAAACAAGTTCAGTTTTTCTTTAAGTACTTTTTTTTAAATTTTCAAGGTCTTTGGATGTTTTTATAACCATTTTATTGAAATAATTACTATCTAATCCATTGCAAGTGTACCATTCTGCTTTGGGGGGGGGTGTGTTCTCAAAGTTAGGTAGTTGTTACCACCGCCATTTTTAAACATATTATCATTGCAGAAAGCAGTCCCTTAGCTCCTGAGCAGTTACTCCCCTTTCCCTGCAGCCACCCTCTCCCTTCCTCCACTCCAAACAACCGCTTAATCTCCCTTCTGCCTTCAGCACTTTTCCTAGTCTAGGAACTTCATACAAACTGAATCCTGCCTGTCTCTCTCAGGACTCATTTCATTCTCTTAGCACCATGTTTTCCAAATAATCCATGTTGAAATAGGATCAGTACTTGATTCTTGCTTCTTACCAAAGGGTAATCCATTGTATAGAGACACACTGCATTTTATGTATCCATTCATTTGATGAGCGTTTGAGTTAGTTTCACTATTTGGCTATTATAAATAACACTGCTATCCATGGCTTTTTAAAGAAGTCACGATGTTTTTACACTGGTTTAGAATACATGATTTTTTTTTTTTAATATTTGAGATTTTTCTTACAGCTGAATATATAATCAGGTTTTATAAATGCTTCATGGTCCTGGAAAAGAAGGTGGAATCTCTCAATTATTCTTGTAATTGTTGTATGATCTTCAAATTATTAATTTTTGGTGACTTGGTCTATTGAGAACAGAAACAGATACTAGTGTCTCTATGCGTCTTGAGTAGTTTCTGCCTTATGCACTTGGCATACAGGAGTTTATAACAGTTTCTGCTTCACTGAAAGTGTCCCATACAAAAACATGGTTCCAAAAGCCGGGCATTGAGGTCTGGTCCTGAGTTCGGTTCCTGGTACCAAAAATGCCAGGTATGGTGATACATGCCTGTAATCCTAGTGTTTAGGAGGCTGAGGCAGGAGGATTTCCATGAGTTCAAGGTCAGCCTGAGCTGCATAGTAAGACCCAATCTCAAAAAACAAAAACAAAAATTCTTAGTTTCTAGTTTGTGGGTTTCTTTCACTTCCTTGATATAAATTGTGTGACACTTTATCTTTCATTTGTATTTATTCTATAAATCTTTCACTACATTTTAGACTTTCGTATTCTACATTTCCTTGTTCTAGGCATGATCCTTACAAATAGAATTCAGTTGAGCTCAGTCGTAAGAAACTTTGCCTTTTTGTAGGGGATGTGACACTCAGTTGTTTAGTCTTATTCCAAATAATTGAATTGAGTTTCATTCTGTGCTTTCTTTT